TATGGAATACGCAGTGAATTTCTTAATGGTGTTGAAGATTTTATTAAATTTGCACAAGAACAGAAGAATTATATGGATGGCGATAAAATCAGATTTCCATGTACAAAGTGTAAAAATCTTCAATTTAAAAATGCCGACCAAGTTGTGTGGGATTTGTACGAAAAAGGTTTCGTTGCCAATTATTATAATTGGACTTCTCATGGCGAACCTTTCGATCCATCACTTTTACCACAAACAGTAGGTTCATCTCGTAACGTCCCTACCGAGATGAGTGGATGGGGAGACTATGATCAAATGACGTGGGATCAAAGAATGGCATATGATGTATACGATGCTTCAACGATTCAGTTTAACCCCCCACAGCCAGAATTCACGACGGGCCTCAAACGTTGATCGTGATATCAATGCCGATGAAGGACATGCTCATGACGGACATGTCCAAACTCCTCCCTCCGAACAATCAGACACTCATATCAGCGTGTATGGGGAGGGGGCATCAACCTCCCATGCACCTCCTCCATCTCGTGCAATATATGCCCCCCCAACTCAAGAAGAGCGCCACAATCCCGGTTCGCTTGAGGTGACACCTCAATCAATCCATAGGTAATAAAAAACTAACATTGTCTCATATAAAATAGTATAATCCCTACATCTAAGAATTAATACAATTGTTTTTATCAATTATCAATTTTTTTTGAAGCGATCCTGAGGTCTTGAATAGAATCAAGGCTATTGTTTGTGGTCATTTCACGGGGCCTTGGTCGACTTATGGTGAGGTTCCGGCGGCCACTCGTGAACTATGGTGGCGGTTGTTCAAGGTAAAAATAAAAAATTTTTGTTGCATTTTAATAACTTAAATTTAACAAATGATATATAAATGTTTTCAATGAAGGCTTCCCATCGGTGCCATTTTGCCCTAGACCAAGCTATTCTCAAAGAATACAATTCTAGGATCTCGGGGTGGTTGAGACCCAATTTTAGGATTGCCCGGTCTACCGGTCGAAAGCCAAGATTCCTTGGCGATGATGTGTGGGAGATGCTTTGCCGCCATTGGGCCACGGATCCCGCATTTTTGCTGAGAAGCGAAACAGCCAAGGCAAACCGGAACTCGGAAAAAGCTAAGGAAGTTCAATGGCACGGAGGCCGCAAACCCCAAATTCAACATAAAAAAGATCTGGTAAACTCTAATTAGTTAAAATTATTTCAATTCCATTCCCTTATGTATATATTTTTTTTATTAACTTTGAAATCCGTGTAGGAAGGATCTGGACCCGTGAAAAAAAGGGTCACGCCATTGAAACTCATGGCACATTGTTGAACGAAGAAGGGTGTTGTAACGCCGCCTCCCCGCCTTTCTGAAATTGAAGTAAATAATGAAACTTCAATAATTCAATAAACTTTGAATTTTTTTGATCTCTTATATAATAATTTTTCGAACTTGTAGAAAAAATATGAGGAAGAGCGGGGGAAGAGAGTTGATGAGCTAGGTGATTCTGATGCCGAACTTGATGAAAATCAAGATGATGAGGTCATCTTGGCGGAAACCGGAGTTTACAAGGACCGGGTGCTGCTTATGGGTTTTGAAGGCTTACGGATCCTGGAGAAGTCCAAAGGAGCTAGCTCATCTTCTCGTTCAGCGTATGATGATCGGGTTACCCGCCTCGAGAAACAATTGGAGGAACGTGAAGCAGAGGCTCGAAGGCGGGATGAAGAAGCTCGGATACGGGATGAAGAGGCAAGAAGAAATTTTTACATACTGATACCAAATGTGAGGTGATTAGAAAAATAATTTTTATCATGATAAAGTTTTCTAATTTTTTAATTGTGATTAAATAAACTGATAGTTATACATGATGTTCTTAATATTACATACTACCTCCGTAACATAAAGATGTTCCCATTTCAAAAGTAGGTTGATTAAGAATGTGATAATGGAACAGTGTGATGGAATGAATGATAAATCATAGAACAAAAATTATCTAATATGATATGAGACAAACTCAACACATGTCAATACTAAGTTCTTACCGTTCTCGTGACATAGAGTACAATAATTTAGGGAATCAAACTAATCTCTCATGCGACAAGTTCATATATTATTGACAAAACGAGCCAGCGTACGGCTCCCTGACCGTTACTAATCTCTTAACGAACGATTAGGTGTCTGTGAAAGTGTCCTAGAATAATTTAGATCTCTACTAAATTACTCTGTGTGCAATTGTAATCCTAGCTGCAGTTCTAGATTACAAAACATATCAATTAAATTATTCAAACGCAAATTAAATGATTACCATGCAATTGACCCTCAAGAACAAAACCTCGATCATGACTAATACCCCCTTGATCAATCTCAAACCCTAATTAAAAGTAGTCACAATTCATAATTGACAGATCAACAGAATTGATAAGGAAAGAACTATTTTTCATTAATTAAAATGATAAAACTTAAAAATAATCTCAGGATCTTGAATATCCAAAGTTGAAAATACCGAAAAAAAATTGCATGGGCCTTCTTTTAATCTATGTAACCAAAAACATAGGTTTACAGGCTGTTTAAATAGAAAGCGGAGGAATTCCGGCTCCGAAAAAAGAACTCTTTTACCGCACGCACGCCCACGCATGGACCTTCATGACTAATGAGAAAGATTGCAAAAAAGAGTAAAAGTCTAATTTTACTCTCCTTACATGTCAATGTATTAAGTCTAATTTTGTTCAAGTAATTCTTTTTTTGTATGTTCTTGATACTTGGTATGACAATACTAATACTAGTTTTTATGTGAAGGATATTAATGTTATGTGCAGAATATTGAACAAAAGTCAATTTGTGAACTCCAGAAATTAATGTGCAAAATATTAATGTTATGGGAGGGCCCACTAATGAAATTGCTAACAAGTGTGATCTGATAGTTTAACTTTCGTTTTAAGCCAACAGAAACATTTTTTCTCTTCACCAAATACAAGAGAAATGGGCAATTTATCAAAATATTCCTATTAATGGGGTATAATAGGAATATTTATAATATGAAGAAAAAGCCATGCCCAAACAATGTTTATAATATCAAGACAAAAGTCATGCCCAAACGCTTAGATTAGTGGCGTTTCAAAAGTTGGTTGTTCAGGGCAAGAAATCGAATAGAAAAGTTGTTTAACCAAACACCTAATTAAGAGATTCATTTGGACAAAAGGCTAAAAACTAGTCAAAACAGCTAAAAATGGCTGATATGCCACTAACCAAACATCCCCAATAGCTTCATTTTTTGTATTGACAGAGACATTTAACATCCTGAACCCTTGAAGATAGGGATGGACTCGGGCCGGATTAACCGAACCGGAACCGGCCCGAACTGACACTGTTACGGCCCGGACCAGCCTGGTCCACGGTTCTGTGACCGATTTGGGCCACCCTGCCCGGCACTGTAGAGGGGCGGTTCTCGGGCCTTGCATTTGATGAACCGGCCTGGTCGATTCGGGCCTTTTTTTGTTTTTCACATTTTTTAAAAGGTAAATGGGTTGGGGTGGGTGTTTTGGAGGGGTTTGGGGTGTGAGGGGTGGGGGGTAGGAAGTAATTAGAAAATAAATAAAATAAAATAAAAATAGGGTGAACTGGCCCGGCCCGGTAACCGCCGGGTGAACCGGCCCGACCAGGGCCCGGAGCTACCCGAGCCGGTTTCCGGGCCTCACTTCTCAAAAAAAAAGCTGGTCGGAACCGAACCGAAGCCCGGCCCAACCCGAACCAAAGCCATGCCTACTTGAAGAGGAACACATTCCTCCAACTCACATTCCTAAAGAGGAATACATTATTGTATGTATTTCCGATGTCAAATCTAATGATTTTGTATGGGATCATCGTTATGTCGTTATGTGCATGAGTAGCATGTCAATTACAACGTACAGAGTGAGCATTCCCAATTTCACAAAATTTGATCAAGTGATTTTACCAAAAATAAAAAAGTAAAAAATGAATGATTCATATCTAACTTCTTTCATCTAAATACATACTTCTTTCATCTAAAATTGAATTGCAATTTGCAGTTTATAGGATTGATATTAAATACGTATCTGACTTCCTAGAAAGCTAATAATCATCTTTATCGGGTAACCAAAGAAGATTACCATTCTCTAAATAATAGAAAAGAAATTGCCCAAAATGGGACTAAAACATGGACTAAATTCTTAAATGGGACTTTAAGTTTTTTATTCCCTAAATAGGACTCCACATTACAATTTTACCCTTCCTCAGTTCCTCTTATTAAACTCAATTTCTCCCTCTGTTCTGCGATTTCTTCCGCCCCAGGCCCCCACCTCTTGCGTTTCTCCCATCGGCACCATCGGTCTGCAGATCAAAGCTTCCCATCAGCGAAATCAATCGTAGCTCTCCCAATCGAAGCCGCTGCAGGTTCCTCTAACAATTACATGTATCCTCCTCTCCTCCTTCTCTTCTTCTTCCTCTTCTTCTTCCTCTTCTTCTTCTTCTTCCTCTAACCATCGCCCCTGTCCAAGTTTTGCATTTTAAACATAGGAGTCCTACTTTTGCATTTATTCCATGTTTTAGTCCTATTAGGGGAATTCTCTCATAATAGAATCTGAAACTTTAGGATTCATAGGGAGTGTTTAGATCTGATTTTTAAAACTGTTTCTGCTCCTTCAAGAAGCAAAAGTACTTCTGGTGTTCTAATATACTATGTACTCCTAGAATCAGTTTTTTTAGAAGCTGAGGAGACCACATTCTAAAAATTGATTCTGATTCTACTTCTTGTTTAAAAAAGTGAAGCAGAAGCAGAATCGGTTCCACACACTCCCATATTAGAAGTCCTAGGATATCTGGCTGCACAGAATTTAGCCCAAAACAATTTTTTATTCTTCCATTTCCACCAACGCAGTCACTCATTTAAGAATGTAAGGAGGGAGTATGTTTTAGTCATACCAACAAGTGGAACCTGATCCCCACCAGATTGGAGGCATAAACAAAATGAAAATTGGCGGAAAAGAGTAATGGTAATGGTGAAAAGAGTAATGGTAATGGTATTAGTACTAATAAATAAGAATAATACTAATAATTGTCTCCTTTTACAGAGAGCAAATTCATTTACACTAATGTACATTGTAAACGTTAGTATTCCAATGGACCTGTACGATGCATACCCCCACCCGATCTGTCTAAATATACAGTAGCAGGGATTAATATTATAGAACCCTCCCTCCCTCGTGAAAAACTCTAACAGGCAACGAAGTCACCCCTCCCGCTGCCTCAATACGTGTGAAGCCCCGAGTATGAGGGAAGGAGGGGATTACCTATTGATGTACACTAAAGATTGTGTATGGAACCTGGTAAAACACAACACACCAGCAGCAGCCAGAGGGCAAAACAAAAATGCTATGAACACTAAACTATGTATGTACACCTCTCTGTCTTTCTGTATTCACCTGTTGTAACGCGCTTTCAGTTTGTGCAAGAATTCTAAAGTCTCTCTATAAGAAGGATCACTACGATTCAGAGGCTTGCATGAATTTATATGATCAGTTGACTCTAATACCTGCACCATCCACACACATGTGAGTGAGTACACTCTAAATTATTACTATTATCATTAACATGAGCAATTATTTTAGGCCAATTTCTTTCCACTCACGATCAATTCACCAAATCCAGGATATGCGGACTCCAGTGGTACAATTTCCATTCGAAATGCCCAACCTCCATATCCTTCAACAATTGGGGTGACCTTCGTCTGGATATATATTATTATTATTATTATTATTGTTAACATCAGCCAGCACTCTACTGTCAAATAATACAATTAACTCCCTTTTGGTTACCATAAAAAAAAACCTCCCGTTTGGTTAGAAAAGCTCTGTCTGTCACATTTACCTCACAGAAACTAAGCACCTCAAGCATCCCTTTTTTATGAAGGCGGCGGAGGAAATCATTAAGCTCCACCAGTCTCGGGGATCCACTTCTCAACTCTCCTATCTGGATATTTGACATGCATAATGGATACAAATTGATCCTTAGTTTCTGCTTTTTAATATAATAATACTAATTTAAGGAAAAGGGGAAATGTCAATGGAAGTCATTCTTCTTGTGTTCAGTTTTACAATGCTAAATACAATAGAAAATGAAATTTGATGGATGTTTTAAGACACCCTTACATGTATTTAGATTTCAGTCATTAGATAATAGAAATAAGTGATTAAAATGAGTAAACAATAACAGAAATAACATGATCGGGTTTGAGCATATGTTTTATTTACCCTAATACTTCTTAGTCCATATCGAACTCTAAAGGGAAATAGTAATGTACTTCCTCTGTTCTTGTTTGAGCATATGTCAATGCATAACTTTGACCATTAATATTTCAAGCAAGCAAGCAAGCAAGCAAGCAAGCAAGCAAGCAAGCAAGCAAGCAAGCAAGCAAGCAAGCAAGCAAGCAAGCAAGCAAGCAAGCAAGCAAGCAAGCAAGCAAGCAAGCAAGCAAGCAAGCAAGCAAGCAAGCAAGCAAGCAAGCAAGCAAGCAAGCAAGCAAGCAAGCAAGCAAGCAAGCAAGCAAGCAAGCAAGCAAGCAAGCAAGCAAGCAAGCAAGCAAGCAAGCAAGCAAGCAAGCAAGCAAGCAAGCAAGCAAGCAAGCAAGCAAGCAAGCAAGCAAGCAAGCAAGCAAGCAAGCAAGCAAGCAAGCAAGCAAGCAAGCAAGCAAGCAAGCAAGCAAGCAAGCAAGCAAGCAAGCAAGCAAGCAAGCAAGCAAGCAAGCAAGCAAGCAAGCAAGCAAGCAAGCAAGCAAGCAAGCAAGCAAGCAAGCAAGCAAGCAAGCAAGCAAGCAAGCAAGCAAGCAAGCAAGCAAGCAAGCAAGCAAGCAAGCAAGCAAGCAAGCAAGCAAGCAAGCAAGCAAGCAAGCAAGCAAGCAAGCAAGCAAGCAAGCAAGCAAGCAAGCAAGCAAGCAAGCAAGCAAGCAAGCAAGCAAGCAAGCAAGCAAGCAAGCAAGCAAGCAAGCAAGCAAGCAAGCAAGCAAGCAAGCAAGCAAGCAAGCAAGCAAGCAAGCAAGCAAGCAAGCAAGCAAGCAAGCAAGCAAGCAAGCAAGCAAGCAAGCAAGCAAGCAAGCAAGCAAGCAAGCAAGCAAGCAAGCAAGCAAGCAAGCAAGCAAGCAAGCAAGCAAGCAAGCAAGCAAGCAAGCAAGCAAGCAAGCAAGCAAGCAAGCAAGCAAGCAAGCAAGCAAGCAAGCAAGCAAGCAAGCAAGCAAGCAAGCAAGCAAGCAAGCAAGCAAGCAAGCAAGCAAGCAAGCAAGCAAGCAAGCAAGCAAGCAAGCAAGCAAGCAAGCAAGCAAGCAAGCAAGCAAGCAAGCAAGCAAGCAAGCAAGCAAGCAAGCAAGCAAGCAAGCAAGCAAGCAAGCAAGCAAGCAAGCAAGCAAGCAAGCAAGCAAGCAAGCAAGCAAGCAAGCAAGCAAGCAAGCAAGCAAGCAAGCAAGCAAGCAAGCAAGCAAGCAAGCAAGCAAGCAAGCAAGCAAGCAAGCAAGCAAGCAAGCAAGCAAGCAAGCAAGCAAGCAAGCAAGCAAGCAAGCAAGCAAGCAAGCAAGCAAGCAAGCAAGCAAGCAAGCAAGCAAGCAAGCAAGCAAGCAAGCAAGCAAGCAAGCAAGCAAGCAAGCAAGCAAGCAAGCAAGCAAGCAAGCAAGCAAGCAAGCAAGCAAGCAAGCAAGCAAGCAAGCAAGCAAGCAAGCAAGCAAGCAAGCAAGCAAGCAAGCAAGCAAGCAAGCAAGCAAGCAAGCAAGCAAGCAAGCAAGCAAGCAAGCAAGCAAGCAAGCAAGCAAGCAAGCAAGCAAGCAAGCAAGCAAGCAAGCAAGCAAGCAAGCAAGCAAGCAAGCAAGCAAGCAAGCAAGCAAGCAAGCAAGCAAGCAAGCAAGCAAGCAAGCAAGCAAGCAAGCAAGCAAGCAAGCAAGCAAGCAAGCAAGCAAGCAAGCAAGCAAGCAAGCAAGCAAGCAAGCAAGCAAGCAAGCAAGCAAGCAAGCAAGCAAGCAAGCAAGCAAGCAAGCAAGCAAGCAAGCAAGCAAGCAAGCAAGCAAGCAAGCAAGCAAGCAAGCAAGCAAGCAAGCAAGCAAGCAAGCAAGCAAGCAAGCAAGCAAGCAAGCAAGCAAGCAAGCAAGCAAGCAAGCAAGCAAGCAAGCAAGCAAGCAAGCAAGCAAGCAAGCAAGCAAGCAAGCAAGCAAGCAAGCAAGCAAGCAAGCAAGCAAGCAAGCAAGCAAGCAAGCAAGCAAGCAAGCAAGCAAGCAAGCAAGCAAGCAAGCAAGCAAGCAAGCAAGCAAGCAAGCAAGCAAGCAAGCAAGCAAGCAAGCAAGCAAGCAAGCAAGCAAGCAAGCAAGCAAGCAAGCAAGCAAGCAAGCAAGCAAGCAAGCAAGCAAGCAAGCAAGCAAGCAAGCAAGCAAGCAAGCAAGCAAGCAAGCAAGCAAGCAAGCAAGCAAGCAAGCAAGCAAGCAAGCAAGCAAGCAAGCAAGCAAGCAAGCAAGCAAGCAAGCAAGCAAGCAAGCAAGCAAGCAAGCAAGCAAGCAAGCAAGCAAGCAAGCAAGCAAGCAAGCAAGCAAGCAAGCAAGCAAGCAAGCAAGCAAGCAAGCAAGCAAGCAAGCAAGCAAGCAAGCAAGCAAGCAAGCAAGCAAGCAAGCAAGCAAGCAAGCAAGCAAGCAAGCAAGCAAGCAAGCAAGCAAGCAAGCAAGCAAGCAAGCAAGCAAGCAAGCAAGCAAGCAAGCAAGCAAGCAAGCAAGCAAGCAAGCAAGCAAGCAAGCAAGCAAGCAAGCAAGCAAGCAAGCAAGCAAGCAAGCAAGCAAGCAAGCAAGCAAGCAAGCAAGCAAGCAAGCAAGCAAGCAAGCAAGCAAGCAAGCAAGCAAGCAAGCAAGCAAGCAAGCAAGCAAGCAAGCAAGCAAGCAAGCAAGCAAGCAAGCAAGCAAGCAAGCAAGCAAGCAAGCAAGCAAGCAAGCAAGCAAGCAAGCAAGCAAGCAAGCAAGCAAGCAAGCAAGCAAGCAAGCAAGCAAGCAAGCAAGCAAGCAAGCAAGCAAGCAAGCAAGCAAGCAAGCAAGCAAGCAAGCAAGCAAGCAAGCAAGCAAGCAAGCAAGCAAGCAAGCAAGCAAGCAAGCAAGCAAGCAAGCAAGCAAGCAAGCAAGCAAGCAAGCAAGCAAGCAAGCAAGCAAGCAAGCAAGCAAGCAAGCAAGCAAGCAAGCAAGCAAGCAAGCAAGCAAGCAAACAAACAAACAAACAAATATACTCCCTCCGTCCCGTTGGAATGTTCCCATTCACTCTTCATTGGTCAACTTAGGTCACTCATAATCTTTTACTTTATATATCAAATTTTTATCAAATAGAACTTTTCTTTATCAGGCTTTGTAGCGAGTTTAATGTAGTTTCTCAATATGTAAGTTTTATTTACTAAAAATAAGCGGAGTGTGAACAGGGATCGAGTTGCTTTATCGTCAGTCAAGCATCGTAAACCGAACTGGAACATTCCAACAGGACGGAGGGAGTATAAATTAATAAATTAATTAATTAATTAATTAATAACCAGGTTTAGGTCCATTAGTTCTCTATATATAAGCATTGAGACAATCTCTAGAAATTATGGAGTTGCAAGTCCAAAGACGTCAAAAAATAGTACCTTTCAACAATTTTTTTTTTCCGAACTCATTTAAATTATTTATTTCTATTATATAGAGCCATAGAGGATAAGATATGAAACATATCTAAAATTCCAAATACATTAATCATGTTTCATTTCATTTCAATTTTACAAGGTACAAGTGTATAACCAAAAACGAGAAAACTTCTCTTAGCATTTCTTTTCCATTCCGCCAGCAATTTCCGGGGTCCAAACATGCCCTGAGGGTGATTAATAGTATAAACAAAGGGTGAGGGCAAGGGGGTTGCACAAAGTTACTCACACTAGGAGCAGGGCGAAACACAAAACCCATACGCCAGGGCATGTCAGCAAGTTTGCTGCCAAAATGGGGACAGCTATAGAATACCTGAAAGCCCAAAGAGGCAAAGTTCAAAGGTAAATAATGAAAATGGTAGAAATTCAGATGTGTTGACTGGAAGGCCGTTAAAGAATATATAGTCCTTACAACACCAACTGCATTATTGACCAGTTCCTCCATGTTTTCTACTTTTGCTTGATGCAACATTTGCTTCACAGCCAGGCCTCCCATGCTGCCAGCCCAATCCCCCCCCCCCCCCCCCACACACACACACAAGGAGAAGATATTATGATAGGAGAAGCTCTTTACACTACAACTTAGCTTACATATAAAAATAAATAGAATTTTCTATATGGGAAAATTCAACCAGTTCGGTCAAGATAATAAATTTTGCAGCTCTAGCTAATCTACGCTAGGAACCAAATATAATCCCACTAGCCTTCAAAACCTTCAGTGCTTCATAAGCATAAGCGCTATACAGATACCATCACTAATCCATAACCATAAGTGTTACGCGAAGGGACAACAATAGATATAACTAGAGGAGCATTGGGTAATTTTGACAGTGCTAATTGAAAATTCTGACAGTGGTGATTTTTTTTCTCTTGTGCAAACTTTGTTCGAGAAGTACTTTAAATACCAGTTTGCCAGTTCTCCATTAACTTGGGATCTAGCTAGTATAGTGAATTTAGGTTTTGTCGAGTGGACTCCTTAATAAATAAAAAAGATTGTGCTAAAAAAATCTTCATGTAATTTGTGCTGGACCAATACGGTTTGCATTTAACAGAGGATCAAAAAAGAACTTGACAGGTACTCCGACTTAAAATAAATTCTAGCAACATAAAATCAAGAACCATATCCCATGAAGTTAATAAAAGTTCACAAGACAGGGACAGACCAACCTATGAGTCACAAAAACAACGGGACGCTTTCCAATGCCAGCCGCAACAAGCTTCTCCAACAGCATAGAACTTACCTCCTACAAAATTAATTAATGTATTATGCAAGATCTCTGAACACTGAATAACAAAAAAGAGTGCATGTGGCAGATAGCCTCATACATGTTGTACATAATCCTGAGAAAATGTTGTCAATGGACAAACGAACCTGAAGAGGAAGGCTTGCTCCTGACCATTGTGTCAGATTAGTCTGCAAAAAAATTGTAAAATAACAAAACAATAAATGTCCAATGACCAAAAGCATTTGGTCACTGACAAAACAATTGACAATTCCAGAATGTTGGACTGTTGGATGTAAAATACCACCCCCCCCCCCCCATCCCAAATTATAATTCTCATTTCTGCTACATGAGTCTACCATATTAGGTTCTCATACTTAATGGTCTCCACTTCTTATGGGAAACTTAATTTGGAACTGAGTACTTAACAGAGACATGGAAAAATATGAACCTTATATTTGAGACTATACAGTCGAGCACCAGGAAAATCAGTCGAAAGCCATTCCCCAGGCCAGAATGTTCCTTGCATCCCTGCCTCTTCATCAATTTTCTCTACAAGGCCAGACTTAGTGGAATACTTGTCCTCAGACAATCGCCATGTTTTAAAGGGACCTCCGCGTAGCCCATGAATAAACACCACATCGAATAAAGGACTCTCTGGTCGTGAGCAACTCAATGCTTCAGATGCAGAGGTTGAGGAGCTATCAACATTGGATTTTGTGGTCATAGATCCCTTCTCAGGTCTTGCAGAATCATCAATAGATGCGGAGGACATATCTATTGGAGATGGAATTGCGTTCTCCATACACTTCCAGTGTGGCTTTCCAGGATTAATTAAAAATATCATATCAGCGTATTGAGGGCAAGTTATTGTTTTATTTGTGCTTCCATGAGAGGCATCACAATCTATAGATTCTTCAATAGTTTGGTCATCACAGGATATGTTCAGTAGTGTTGCCCTGGCATAACTTTGAATTTTGAGGTCATTGCAACCTGGAATCTTTCCTTCAGCGCATTCTTCAAGCCATCTACACAGAGCTTTATCAGCAACTACTGATTTCTTTACTTTTGGAAGGACGGAAAGCACGGTTAATAGCCTAGCAGCATGCCTTCTAATATGAGCCGTGGGGGGTACCCGAACACTTGATGTGTCACTAGGATTAACATTTGCAGAGGCTTCACCTGAAACCGATGACTGGTTTTCTGGTGACTCAGAGGCACGTGATGCATCATATGCTTCAATTGCTGATAGTTGTTCATAATCGTCTTCTAATAACAAACGCCTTATCAAGCAGAGGACTCCAAAATCAGTTATTTTGTGTAGACAAAGAGAGTCTTCAGCTGATATTTCGGTCAAAGCTTTGATTCCTTTCAGAGTGGCCAATGCTGAATCTGCAGCATTAATCTTAGGAACCTTTTCTTTCTTAAGATTCTTAAACATTCCCACAAAAGGTTCTAGTGAGAGAAGATCATCCAATGGAAATGAATCATCTGTTTCAGTGTCCAGACCAAGCTGCATTCCTGCTAGGTTAACAACCGCTATAGCCAATTGATTTGCGATTTGGGTTGCTGAAACTATATTTGCTTGGTCAATTTGGGTCTGCAGAAATTAAATAAAATTCTGGACATTTAAAAAATAGGATACTGACATACTGTTAAATCATCATTACTTTTTATTATTCAATATTACTTTATCAGCTAAACATTTAAATTAAGAACTGCATCACTGCTACAAACCTTCACTTTGTCGGTCCTTAGCTCACTATTCCCTTTCAATAAAGCTGCCTTCCTGTAATTCAAAGCATCACTCAGCAAAAGAGTTAACCATCCTTGAGAAATTGATAACGATGATGGTCCGTAATCTTCAAGAATGCATGAAAGGATACTTATGGCTGATGACCGCATTGTGTCAGAAGAAGATTCCGCAAAAACCCAAGGAAGTAGAATACCAGACCATTTTTGGCTTTCTTCAAACGACATATGCATATCCCTAGTGTAGAGCAGCTCCAAGGCCTTTGCCAATGCTTCTTGCAAAGAGACATGCTGCTTTGTCTGTTTAGCCGTCCCTCGCATTAAATGAAGGCCCTTTTCAACTGCAACCTCTTGCACTTTAGCACTTCTCTCAAGAGCAACTAGAAATGCAGATAAAGCAATGTGAGTCAGAGGCAAATCCTGAGCTTTGCTTGCTTGAGAAATAATAGAAAGAAGACATGAACTCCAATCAGAAACATTTTCATTTAATGGTAGCTTTTGGTCCTCTAACAACAATCTAGCAATCAGACTTCCATGCCATTTTACAGATCTTTCTGGTGCCATCAAAGCAGCCATAATTGCTTGCCCATCTTGATCCAGTTCCTGAATGTGTGTCCTATTAGCTTCTGATGCCATTGCCCAATTCGCCAATGCCCATGCAGCAAAAGGAACGGCAACTTGCTCGGAATGCAAGTCATCCCAGAGTCCAGGAACAACAGCTGAGGACAAATTTGATTTTGCAGAGCTGTCACTTATTTTGTTAAATGAGAGATTCTTATGTGCATGCTTGGCAGTATGGTTAGCATCAGAAAGCCCCGTCTCTACAAGCCCTTTAGTCCTTGAAAGCCCAAGAACTGTTGTGCCTTCAAGAATCTTTATTCCAATGCCCTTTACACCTGTTCCTCCATTATCAGTATCTTCATCCTGGTGTGGATCATCCCAGTGCATGCCACCTTCCTCTAAAACTTCAATGGCAGCTGCAATATCTCTCATCTCAGCGTTTTCTGGTAGAAGAGGTTTGAATAATACTTTGTCTGCACTTTGACAGTGGGAAGTAACCACGTCCATTATTGCTGCAACAAGCATGCTCCTACCTTTTAAAGAATCGGAAAGACCAAAAGAAGTACTTCTATTTTGCTGTTACCAAAAAGTCCAATGCATTGATGTCAATGTAAAAGGAAATAGTTTTAAAGAAATAAAAAGAAAACTAAACAAATGAAATGGACCAAAAAAATCTATAGTGTCTACAACTCTACAGGATAATTACGTTGTTACAAGCCATCATTGAAGTACATATTTCTTGTATATATTTAAAGAAAAGGTAAAATGAACTCACTTTCTTTGATCTTCTCGGCTGAGCAGAGAAAATAAACCTAAGTAAATTAGGCACAGCGTGAGGCCTGCCTAAAACCGTCTCACATACGTTTGGATCAGCAATTAAGTATGCCAAAGCCCTAGCTGACTCGGCCAGAGTGCCTGAATTCTCCCTGTGGGATGACACTGTCTCCAGAAGCCAATCCACTACAGCGCCACCCCCAGCACCAACCAGGGCCACTCGACGGCTCTCACTCGCGGCGGCTATGTCAGCCAACAATGCCGCAACCCTGATCTCAAAACCAGCTCGGACCTCATGGTTCGCTGATGACATTAACGACCTCAGCGACTTCCACAAAACCGAAGCGGCCGTACCAGTCTGCTTCATTCTATTAATTGTCGCTGTAAATGAATCCTTCGATCTCTCAACCGCATTTTCTATTTCTCTGTATACACCGCCGGCTTTCCGTTTGAACTTACCGTCTTCGTCGTCGTGCATCAAAGTTATAACGTAGGGAGCGACGATGGAGGACACTATGGTTGCGGATAGGGTAAGAAGTAGAGCACGCGAGCGTTTAGGGAACAATAGAGCGGCAGGAGGATGGCGGGGAGTTGGCAGAGGAGGCACAAGTTGCGAATTCTTCAAGTTGATCGGAGTACCTTCGACGGAATTCGCGGGGCCTTTACGCATTGAAGACGAAAGAAAGCGACGGAGATTGAATCGCAGATACTTCCGCGTATTCCGGGGGTGAAGACGAAGCATATTTTACTAGAGGTTTGTTAGATCGTTCATTCCGTTGTTATCTCTGGAAGTTGCGATTTAACGAGATGAAACGACCGGAATAGATAGGCGTCAAAGAGGAGCAGCCACCAATCCGGAGGTAGACCTGGAGTCCGGCGAGAGCATATCCGAGAGAAATCGGCTAATCGAGAACACGGAACTTGTTAAGAAAATGAGCCGGGTTGTCGCCACCCGAGTCTTCAGAATGTGGTTCATTGTCAAATAGAAGCTGCCCGTTGTGGGTCTTCGGTTTGGATTCGATGGGTAATGGATAGAAAGCATTATTATCAAATAAAAATCATACTACCTTCGTTCTCATTTTAACTTCCAAATGGGTTTGGCACAAAATTTAAGATAGTGGATATTGTGTGGTGGAGAGTTGTTCAAAGGAGAGAGAAATGTGTAAGAAATGTTGTGAACCACTAATTCTTTACCAAAAAGGGAAAGTGGAAGTTTTAATTGGAACGGACGAAAAAAGAAAGTTGGAAGTTTATTTAGGAACGGAGGGAGTATAATTTTTCGGTTTGATTTGATTCGGCTTAATCTGATTGAGTTCAATTTACATCCTTTTTTAATAAAGATTTTGTTAGATTCTATTAGTTCGGTTTGATTCGATGTGATATGATTTGGAAGAAATATCATCAAACTCAAACCAAACATCATACGATCCAATTTCGGTTTGGTTTTGTTTAGTGTGATACGATTCAAGTAAACCAAACTGATATACCTGTCTCTAATTCTAGTTATTAGAGGGGGACTCGGTACCGGATAGTCCGGTCCCTGATCGTTCGCTCCCGATCATTGGTTAGAGAAACCTATATCTGATTTGTTTATATCTTAATCTGAACTGATTCTACGTACCCGGCCGGTCCAGTCACATTGTATGTTTTTGCTCATTTCCAAGGCTAAACAAACTAGACATAGAATCAACAACCTTTGATATATTCGTACCGTTCGTTGATCACCTCACATATGCAAACTTGATACTAGTAATAATAGCCTCCTTAGCAATGACAAGATCGCCTCACATTTGCAAACTTAATACTAGTAAAACTAGCCATTAACAATGACAAAATGCTTCTCTTGATGCTTCTTTTATGCAATGACAAATAATGCTTGAAGTATAGGTAGAGAACAAAGAGACATCAAGTACTCAACAGCATTACACTGTACGTCTTTCCTAGACTAAAACTAGTTAATCTATGTAAATATTTGATGCTATTAAATTGAGATATACGTAGTAATTATAATAATCTTAACATGAACTTAACAGTTTGACCTACACACATATTAAGGAAATAAACTTACCATATGGTAAATTTTACTATTTTGACACTGTCTTGTATTGTTTCGACACTGTTTGACACTGTTTTGATGTAGATTAACTTGCCATTTAAGGAAATGGGAACTTGTTTATGGGACATCCAAAAAAGGAAAGTGAGAAGTTCATTGCGGGACGGAGGGAGTATTTAACATAGTGTGCATTTACATATGATAATTATAGACATGCCAAATTGCTGATATACAAAACCCGTAAAACATTAAAACCCGGAATACAGGTATTCAATCCTGGTTAAAGAAATGGGCTAACTTGTTGCTCAAACATTGGGCCTCATCGCACTGCATGTCATGCAAATGAAACCCATGGTCTTTTCCTTCACTCTCGTGGGTCTCTGCCGTTCCGGCCCACACGCTCCGACCCAAAGCCTCGTAATAAAGTAACCCTCTATCCTTCAATATATCCTTCTCAGCCACACAGACCAACACCCTCTTGCAGCCCAAACCCGCCAAGCTTGGAGCACCTTCTCCAACCGGGTTGACCCACTTGTAATCATTGCTCGGGTTCGACGGGCAAACAAACGGCCAAAACTTATCCAACTTAGCCTTCTTCTCCGGGTCGTCCTTTTCCGACCCGATAGGGTCCGACCCCCAGAAGAACGGTTGAACCAGCGCGACTCCGAGGATATCAACGCCCAACCCCGCTTCCTCATCACTTCCAGCCATCATGGCAAGATTGTGAGCTATGTTAGCGCCGGCGCTATCACCGGCGATGAAAACGCGTCGGAAATCCGCGTGTCTGTTCAACCAGATCTCCGGACCGTCACAGGTTCGATGATAAGCAACCCAGCGGAGCGCCGCCCAGGAATCGTGATACGCGACGGGTAAAGGGTGCTCCGGCGGCCTTCTGTAGTGCACGGAAACCGCCATAACCTTTGCGCTGGAAACCAATGCGTTGATGTAGTTGTGATAGTAGACAGAAGCGGGCGAGGACACGAAGAAACCGCCGCCGTGGAAATAGACAAGAAGGGGGAGTTTATCGCCGCTGCCGGCGGCGAGTTTTGGGAGATAGAGTCTGACATATACTTCGGGAGAAGAGGGAAGGATGTTCGGGATGTCTTTGGAGGAAACGCCGGAGTGGGGATCGATGCCGGCGGGAGCGGTTTCGGTTCCTAGGAGCCTTTCGACTTGGCCGTTTTTGTAGACGCGAATGAATGGAAGGTGCTCGAAGGCTAGATCCATGATACTCCGTATCAGTATTGCTTACAGGCCCAGCTGATGTGATGATGAAATATAGAGAAGGAGCTGGGTTGTGGGACTGCGTAATTCCAATCAATTTCTCCGCTGAGTTGTCATCACGTTTTAAATTGTATTACGGATTTAAGGTTAAACTAGATTAAATTGAAATGTGCAGAATAAAAGAGAAAACTTAAATGTGTATTACGTGAAATTGAGATGTGCAGAATAAAAAACACAAAAAGCCACCACATCATAGTGTTTATTCTATACATTTTAGTTTCACATAATGCACCTTTCAGTTTAACTTTATGCACAATTCAGCTTTTCGTAATGTCATTGTGTGTACCTTTTGCGCTGCACATTTTGATTTCACCTCATGCACATTCAATTTCACTGAATAAAAAATCTAACAATCCAGATTTATTCTCATTTTTCTCATAAGATCATTTTTTCATTTGAACCTAATTTGAACTAAGATAAATAAGGGGTATACAAGGAACGCAGTTTATGACGGTAAGTCTAGACACATCAGTCGTAGACACAATACCATTAGAAAACTAATTAAAATGAAATCATCTTTCATTCTTTCTTGACTGAGTTAAGTCAAAAGAAAATATTGCGGATCCGTTAACCAAACCTCTATCGCGCAAGAGAGTTGGTTGAGACATCAAGGAGAGTGATGGGCCTACAACCAATTATCCAATAAAAGTCCAAGGGGAAACTCTACCTATTATTCAAAGTGTCTTAGAGTGCCTCATAATTAGGTTCAAAGGGAAAACACAATTGTGGACAGGCTCGGGCAATACTAGCCAAGATATAGTACACTCATGTCAAGAGCATTTAGAGTAAGTTACGTTGGTAATGATCTCTATATATTGATATGCTCAAGTAAGGTATGACCACTATGTCGTGATACCTTCGATAGAGATCACCTATGTTGGTGGAAGAATGTCACTTCTATGTGAGTCTACGGTACGAGATAAATTCTTCGGTACACGATAAATTCTCTAAAACACTAGGTGAACTAGGAGGTGTTCAAGGCTGAAATGAACACAAACTTGAGAATAAAAAATGCATTCGGGGCTCTATGTGTTATTCATTGTCTAGGTTTAAGCAACGACTGACAGTTCAAAGAAAATTGCTCACTGATTGTCCAGTAAATATGATAGATGTACACCAAGGTAGGTTCAAGGCTTCATGACCGCTTCATCTTTCAAAATACCCATCTTCCTCTTTCAAATTTTAATTTGTTTCCGGTCTTTACGCCAATTTTTCATTCATGTGGAAAGATTGTTGCAAAAAGTGGTTTTATTTTTATATAGTGACCACCTTTAAGCTATGATAGATATGGAATCCACAATTAGTTTGTGGTTAGGACCAAGTGGTAACGTATATTTCTCCAAAAGGTAATGAAATGTTCTCCGATCTTCGTTATAAACTAGTCTGGGGGGAATTTGTCCCACACAGAAAATAGAGAGTTAATGAAGTATCTTTTTATAAGCTTTCCTTAGCTATTAGATTAGACCTTTGAGGCACCGAAATTTGTTGAACGGCGAGACCCGTATACGGTAAGCGTGAAATTAATTCTTCACACGTGTGCCGCCGCTACTAGCCAGCCTGTCGAGTCGGGTTCAAGTCTTTGACAGGTCAATTGGGTGTTAAACAACCCGTTTAAAGACTATATTTAGTGTTCCGTTTTTTGATTATTTTATTTGCATAAAAGGAATGCCTTTTCGGTTTGAAAGAAAGGTTACCACCTCTCATTCAATATGTGTCTTTTGGGTGAGAATTTCTTGACCAAAAACTCTATAAATACCCATGATTCTACACAAGAAGCATCGAAAAATTGGCAGTCCAAAAACACTATCTCCTTCATCATTACTCTTCCTGAAATCCTTTAATCGTTGAGTTCGTCAGAGTCCCCTCATCGATAACTAATCCGTTCTGTCTTGGGAGACATTTGTTGTGTTAGTCTCAGATTTTCTGCATATGACTTTCCTTGTCCGTTTTCCATTAATGTTCATGCTGAATATATGATGGCGTAGAAAACAAAATAAAGATCATGTATAGATACATTTGATGGTAAAATTTATGGGTCTACCATCATTGGGCCGACTGAGTCACCGTGATTAACATCCTCCCAAAAACCCTGTCGGGTCGGGGTATGGGGGGCTCTTGGAGTGGGAGATTCCACCATTTGGACCAAGATGGTAAAATTTATGGAAAAAATATTAGGTATACAATTATGGTTCCCACTTGTCACTTTGCAACATGTACACAAAATGACAAAATTGTAGTAGAAAGAGAAAATTGGTCCGTGAATGAGTGTGAGATCAAAGGCTAGTCAACTGCTCAACTTTTTTTTCAACTGGCCATGTCACCTAAATTCATTACTGATTTCATGGATCTTTGGTCACATATCAATAGAGTATTTTATTGAATGGGAATTGAGTATTTCAACCAAATTTGCACCTAAAGGCCGTTATACGCGGGCATAAGAAGGACGAACTAAAAAGCCAAATCAAGACTATTATTTAGGATATTTTCAGTTGAATTGAAATTTTCTAGTGCGGTTTGATAAATGCTTGATCTTTATGTATTTTATAACTATCCAAATCTAGTTTTGTCTGATGTGATCTGGTTCGAACTGATCTGGTCATGATTGAAACAATCCAAGTAAAAACATCTTTACTTTCACTTTTGTTTGAGCGAACATGAATTTTCTGGATTAAATTTTGAGTTTACGACACTACTTTAGGGAACATCTTAATACGAAATTTTTGAAGATTGTATTCCTTTTAGAAATAATTTTAACATCTTCGCCTAGCCTAACATCTATCAAATACTAGTAACATTTTATAGGCACATCAGTCCACCCACGTTCACTCGGATCCGTATATTGTACAGCCCGGCTGTACAGTGGCAAACTTGTAATTTTTGTGAAATCGTGGATTCTCTTATACGAGCATTTATGCATTTTTGATGAGCATCCAGTCTGTTCTTTTTATTATTAGGAGCCTAACGGTGAACATTAGTGATCTCTGCTTCATACCTTATATATCACTTTCTGTTTATTATTTTTTCATTTATTAAAAAGTCTTAAGTTATGTCTATAATCAATTTTAATTAATTTCAATATGTGAATCTAATGTAGTATGATATGTTTGAAATGTGCAACCTTTTAAAATGAACATAAAGCAAAACCAAATGAGCACACATAACTTACAAAATGGGTATAAAAAAAATCAAAAACGCATTTGTTTGTGCTCATTTATTTTGGACATGATGCTCATTTGAATTTAACATAAAACTCAGTTCTAATGTAGTACGATATGCTTGAAATGTGGAACCTTTTAAAATTAGCATAAAGTGATTCCAAATGAACATACATAACTTACAAAATGAGTATTAAAAAATTCAAAAACTCATTTGTGTATGCTCATTCATTTTGGGCGCGGCACTCATTTAAGCTCAACATAAAAACTCATTTCTTATGTGTTCAATATTCATCTGTGTATATTCATTCCTTTTAGACATTATACTCATTTGACTTTAATAATAAACTCATTTCGATACAATATGACAGATCCACAAAGAACTTTCAACTCATTTCCCTTCTTCTTTCTATAAGCCAACGCGGAAACAGGGGGCAAGAAGAATCTGAATCTCAAGTCAAAAGCGAAGCCATATTTCGCTGCGCCAATCGATCATAGTATGTGGCGACTTGGGCTGCTTCACGAGTTGGAGACCTGAGCAGTCGATTTTCGTCTTCGACGATGTCCTTCCTCTTCGCAGATGAGTTGCAGCACAGATTAATTACAAAAAAAAACCGATTGTACCATGTAATTTGCGGTTCACCTATGGTTGGACTCGGGTCAGGCCACCCGGCCCGTGGACCGGCCCAGCCCGCTACTGTGTGGGACCGGGACCAGCCCGGTTCTCAGGTCCGGGTCCAGGTCCGGGTCGGGCCTAGGCCCGGGGGGTAGGGCGGGTCCGGGCTCGGGTCTTAAATTTGGTGAACCGGCCCGGGCCAAATTGAATTTTTTTTATTTTTTTTTCATTTTTGGGGTTCCACCCGGGTTGGGCTTGATGGGTAGGATGTGTTTGGGGGGGGGGGGGGTTGGGAGGGTGGGGGGTGAGGGGGGGGTTAGGAAAGCAAAAAAAAAAATCCAAACCGGAGGCCCGGCCCGGACCCGGACCGGACCCGGTGGCTACCCGGGCCGGTCCCGGGTCCACCATTCCTGAACCGCCGGCCCGCCCGGGCCTAGCCCCAACCCGGACCCGGCCCGGACCCGAGTCCACCCCTAGGTTCACCCTGTTGTACTGTATTTAGGGTTACTTAAATACAAAATGGCCATTAAATTTCAATCTGGACCCTTTCATGTGGTGGACACTTGACCTTGGGACAAACTCATTCAATTTTAGACCCATATTATTTTAAACTCGCCTGACCAGAGCAAAAGCCATCCTAGGACCAATACTGAAAATCAGATTAGGAACGAACGAGTCTGATCATGTCCACGCCAACTACAATGTGAGCTAATGGGGCAGGCCAACTCATAGCTCATCAAATGATGGGAATCGGGGGATTAACGGGCTACCAAAATGTCAACCCAATACACTAATTGGGCAGGTTAGCATGTAAGAAAATACTTTCATCTTGTAGAATAATTTTATTAAAGATAAGTGAATTTCCTATGTTGTTTAACCAATGGGCACAATTACAGAGTACATGAGTTAACTCAAAATAAACAGCATGTCCAGACATCTGTTCATCTTTTTCCTTTTTCCCCGCAAATACATTTGTTCAGAACCAGAGCAATCCCCAGATAGAGGATGGGGGAACATGAATATAGGAAGAGAAAGAAGATATCTAACCTGCACCAATTAATAATCTATCCCCAAATCTAAAGCAAAAAAAGTGACGGACCATGTCAGCTGCAGATGCAAAATCCTCTTAAGTTAGTTGTCTTCATCGTGTGGGGCATTTTACAAAAATCTTCATATTGTGATGATAATAATATGTGCAGCTTCGCCAATAGATATGCTTCGCTTCCATAGCATCTTCCGCAAATTACACGCTTACCACTCCCGCCATCCATGGAACTATTAACGGAGCTTTTGGATGAGCGTTTCTATAAGACTCGGAATAACGGTCCTTGAAGGTCAAACTTGGTTTCTCTGACTGCATTTGTAATCAAGACAAAAATCAGAAATGGTTGAAATAAATTCTGATTCAAGAGTATGTTAAGTAGAAGTTTTTGCTTATCAGCCATTGTCTTTTACCAAACACTAATGTGTTATATTGCAATAATTGAGTGATAATAGGGGGGGAAGATATAGGGGGGGGGTTGGCTGGAATGTCTGGAATTGATACTTCTACCTGCATTTAATATCTTACACTGCTTTAAATATTTTTATATAATTTCTTTTGACAATTCAACCAGTTGAGCCACTTCAACAATTTCAGCATAATCAGCCACTGCAGTGAGAGGCTGAGAGATCAGTCATTTTATGAGGCCATTTGAGGAAGGGTTATTTAGCTGAATCTGCTGAACTTCTGGAAGGAATAGCCGAATAGCGATTGGAAAAAATGATTTCATTAAATAGGCCAAATGCTACTCATCTACTAATTTTGCTCATGAGAAGAGAACAAACTGAGTGATGCTACCAAGCGGGGCTGAGATTCTACCAAACAGGCTCTAAAGTTCAGCCACTTCACACATTTAATGTTTTGCCAAACAGACTCTTAATTACAAGATACTAAAACTGTGAGAAAAACTTACATATTTCAACCAGCACTCCTGGTGTTTGTGTTCATAAATATCAGGGGAGTAGCATCCCGTTTCTGATGGGCAGTAAACCCATATATTGCATTTCTTGTCACCTGGTTTAGCACGTCTGGACTGATCCAAACAAGCCATACAACAATCATAAGCAGATTCTTTATGGTGCGTAAGACCCCATCTGACAGCAACACCACCATAGTCTGTATGAAGCTCGTGATGGCATTCGGGGGGAAGCCGCTTGCCAGCAATAATTTCAGTTTCTGATTAACAAATGCCCATCCGGTTAATGAATGAAGAAACACTTCATAATCCAAGAAACAATAGATTTAACGCATTTTCCTATACAGCTTGTTTTTTTTTGAAAGGTCCTTTACAGCTTGTTTGATTCGGGTAATTTCAGGGGGGGGGGGGGGGGTCATTTTTAATTTTTAATTATTTTTTACATTTAGATGATTAAAAATAAAGTGTGGATAAAAGACTAGAAACACATGATCTAACTACTCAAATATTTATTTGTAGTCTAGAGCTGATACATAAAGATAAATTAGTAAAACAAATATCAATCATCCTCTCTGCTTCCCTCCAGAATCCCCAAACCAAACATGTCTTAAGGGACCGTTTGGAAACACTGAAATACTTGGGGGGGGGGGGGGGGGGGGTAGGCAAGAAAATATAGGAGATATTTGGAAGGGAAGAAAATGTTGAGGAGAACAGATATTGTTTTAAGAGCAATAAACTTAGGTTTAATATTTGTTTGAATTCATTTCTATTTGTTTATATGTAAAATACAAATACTAAGAAATCTAAGGATACGTAAAAAAAACTTAAAAGTTTAATTATATCTCACTTTCCTTCACATAACATTTCCTTGCATTTTTCCTTTGTCTAGCATTTTCTGATATCCTAACATGGCCGAAAATGGCAGGGAAAGCAAACAGGAAGGATAATAGAGGTAATTTTGGGAGGAAATGAAATTTGGAGAAACTTAATAAATCAATTTTGTTCAAACTTCATTTATTTATATACTTCTATTACATAAAGACTAAGAAATACAAATAAATGTGAAACAGTTAAAAGCTCTTAATCAAATTTGTTTTTTTCCTCGAACCCCGAGGTAAACCCGAATAAAAAAACTAATATAGCATTTTTGTTGAAATATTGCTATGTTTAGTCCATGATATTCTCATGGGGTTAGATTAGACACTGCATGATCCCAAAGTAAAACTAAATAATAAAAAAAAAGAACATTTGGAATGGATAAGGAGATGGAAGGAATATCAATACCGAACTCCTCCCCTTCGGGTTTATCATTATGCTCCATATGAATGACCTCAACGGGGATCCAGAGACCAATTTCCTCTAACAAATCAACCCAACCGGCATCTAAAGCCCGTGCTAGCACACCTGAAAAGAGGGAATACTCTTAGATAAGTACATATGCCAAAAAAGACGGACAAAAAACTCCAAATTGTGTCCTCATCACAAATAATTTAAAAGGTGACAATAACGGCCCATTTGAGAAGAGTTCCTTTTTGTGTGGCTAAAATGAAAGGATTAGGTAACATTTATTCCAACAAAGTAAGGACAAAAACACCACATTGCATCCTCAAAAACAAACAACAACATCCAAGACTTAATCCCAAAAGAGTTTGGGGTCAGCTAACATGAATCGACATGTGACATCGGAGTACGACATTACATGCTCATGGCAGATAATTTAAAGGGAAATTACCCAAAATAGGAGCAAATGACACTTGGAATTCCAAAAATAGGACTAGAATGTTTTTCTTCCCGAAATAGGAGTTATTACTGTCATGTATGAAAAATACTGTCATGATTGAAAAATACTGTCATTAATTATAATAAATACTGTCATGTTAAATGCACTGTACTGCAACTATTTGACAGTCACGGCTACAAGATGACAGTAAATACTGCCATGTTAGTCCCATTTCGGGAATAAAAACAAAGTAGTCCTATTTTGGAATTTCAAACTTCATTTACTCCTATTTTGGGAAATCTCCCTAATTTAAAAGGTGGAAAAATAGCCCATTTGGTAGGAGTTCTTTTTAGTGTGTGACTATATCGGGTAAATTTTTGGAAAGGAAAAGGGTTTAGTGAAATCCATTTCAACCAAATAAGTCAAAAGCGGCTTATTCTGCTGAACAAGCTAGATAAGTCTTCCAAACGAACCCGAAATCTCATTCAAATAAATGTGCAAAATTATGGTTGGAATTGGAGGATAGAGGAGAATTACTGGCTTCTTCTGATGCAATATTTGTTGTTGGTGCTCTCCCAAGAATGACTTGATTGACTTCTTTTAGCTTGACCATGCGCCAGCTTTCAATCGCCTCTGTTCACCCAAAAAAAACATGCCAAGTGTATAAATAATACTTTGTATTCCATAATACAAATCAAATATTAAAAAAAAACATGGTGACCATGATCCGAGAGTTACTAGATGGTATGTATCAACTTCCCCAAGGGATGGATGGAATGTGGCAAAGATAAATTAGAAGGCCTGAGTAATTAGGCATGAGGTGAACAAAGGCCTTACATGACCTATAAAATGATTTTATGGCATCTTTGGTTTGGGGATTCAGGAAGGAAGGGAGTGGGGGATTGATTTTTATTTTATTGATTTACATCTACTTGTTAGCTTTAAACTGAAAAGAACTCTGTGATTAGTCAAATCATGCATCTCTATATAGTTTTATCTTTTCACTTTATTTCTGACCAGCTAACTGCAGAAATTATGTAAATAATACATGTCAATCCTCCTCTCTGAAGAACATTTGAATATACAAAGTACATGTGAAAGATCTTACAAGATCATTTACAATGTATTTTGGAAAATTGGTAGCGTTTTTGGATAGGAGGAAATATGAAGGGAAAAAGAAAGATGTCAGCTTGTTTCTTCTTCTTATCCAAAAACCAATTTTTCTACTCATTTTAAAACAACATTAGTGTGTCAATCGCATTCTCTCAAAATCATAGCATAAAGCACCCTTTTTAATTGCAATCATCATACATAAAGTACAAAACATACATATATTCAATAATTATTTTAAGAACCCAGCACAAAAATTAAACATATTAAGAATTGAAAACAGGCAGTCAAGAAGATTATCAGTCACTTAAAAATGAAAGTGCACACTTACCTCTCTGCACAGAGGCATTTGTGTTGCCATTCAAGCTTTTTAAAATTGCCAGTATCTCATCTGTAATCTTTAGTTTCAAGGGTTGGGGTATTTCCACAGCCTTTTCTTCCGTTAAAAATTGCTTCTTTAACTGGCTTACCTTCAGAGGAACAGAGATATAGCAGCCTCGTTCAAGAAATTGCTCAAAAAAAATATCCTAAAATATATGCGTAGTATATAATTACACCATATACTAATGTTATGGCACACAGATAACAAAAAACCCAAAATTTACCAGTTTAATAAGCTCCTTAGGTTCTGATTCCTTCCTTATTCGGGTAGATTCTTCCATTTTCCTAATCTGATCTGGGGTATACCTAAAAGCTGCAAATGGTAGTACATACAACAATGTCCAATATCAAGCCGCCCGGAATAAAAGAAAGATTCACTGAACTAAAAGGGAAAAAAAGCACCAGAAAGGAGTAGAAAGAAACCAGCTTGGGAATCATTGTAGGAATAGAAGTAGAGAGAATTGAAGAGAGAGTGAAGGACATAGAGTGCAACAGCGACATTGATCGAGCAGACGATGATCGTGGTTCGCTTGTAAGAACACCATCTCCCTCTATTCCCACCAAAAGCCCATTCCCCTCTTGCCATCTCCCGCCGCCGCCCTCAGCTCCTAATGCTGAATCGCCTCCATCCCATCATTCTATCTTCAAACACAGTTGAATAGAGTAAGAAACAAGATTGGATGAACAAATACTCTGCAACAAATTGAACACTCAATGTTGAAGATGGATTTGCGATTGACGGATCGATCGGTAGGACAAGTATATCAGTATCAAGCAATTAAAGGTAGTCCTTTTCTTCTTTTTGGATAAAAAAATAGACGATACTCGTATTAAATTAAAGTTAATTAAAAATGGTTCTTGGGTCAGTTGGGTGGGTCGAACAAGGCTGGGATAACTCTAAACAGTTAAGAAAGTGCGGTTTCTTTTCAATAGTTGCGACTTAGGACACGCTTGATCCAAGAACCGTTTATTTTAAGTTTTTAATCCCAATGAGATTGATTTGAGTTCCAATAAAGATCCAATTTGGATCTTTGGTTTGCACTATTCGTAAGCTTGACTGGATTAATCAAGATTAATTAATTAATACGGAGTATTCATATTCATTTTTCATATTTTATTATGAAGAAAATTGTAGTATGTATTTTAAGTAGAGGTATAAGTTTTTTGAACTCTTTAGAATGAAGCTCAAACATTAATTTTAGGGATTTGAACTAAAAAGCGGCCCTTGGACTATATTAAAAAAATAATTAAGCATTTGAACTAAAAAACACTCAATTAAGCTTGTGAAATTCAAGAAAACGGACAAATTTATAATTTAGTAAGTTGGTTCCCAGTTACTCAATCATTTGCTTACGTCGCAATCCAGGTGACTTACTTTAATGTTTTTCTCTTTCCCCCACTTCTTCCTTCTTCCAATCAAACAGAACCGTCCAACTCCCTACTTCTTTCTTCAAAAAGACATCACTCGAAATTTCAGGAGCGCACATAGATCGCCGCCATCAATTTCAAATGCCATAACAAGACATCATCGCCTATTTTTCGTTGTTGAGTCCCTTGGTCATCTTCACGAGCTCGTCGTCGTTGATTTCAATGGATTGCTTCTTGGACCCTGATGGATATCCGACCTCAGGGGTAGGCGGAATCCAGGAAATGAGAGGTTGGAAGTGCTAAGTAAAAGTGAGTAAAAAAATTCGGTAAAGTAGCAGTAAGGTTGAGCGTGAGAAATCGGATCCCTTTTCCACATGTTGAAAGTTGATATTCATACTACAAGGAAATACTTGCTAACAAGTATAAAAGATGATGTCCTGATACAGTGGTGACACGTGTACTACTTGGAATTGGACACCAAGTATAATATGCTAGTCTAAATTATATGGTGACATGTGTAAAGCTTGATCGGTGAGAGGATGGAGACAGTTGGTTGATTGATACTTGATAGTGTGCGTAACAGAATTCATCATTTGTGTGCCAGAACGCATATGCAAGTCGCACGTGTGCTATCCAAAATATTTTGTGCAAAATCGCTTGGGTGGCGTAAGCATCAGACATTTGTTGTATGGGTGACATGGTGGTCACAGCCATGTGTGGAACTTGATTGCTGGAAATGCCAGAGTCCAGATCTTCCTTATGAGGTCCCAAGCTCAGCTGGTGAGGTCGAGCTCGGCCCAGTGTGCTTGTTTGGAGGAGGGCAACTTCAGTTCGCTATATGCAAAGTGGCGATGCTTTCTCTGTTTAGTTGACTTCGCGTAGCTTCAGTTGACCCTAAGCTCGGTTATGACACTGGAGTTGACGCTGACCTCGTTGGGAGTCGACCTCGGCCTCAAATGTTGTTTTGGACTTATCTCAATATTTTTGGAGTCGATTTTTGGACCCTACCATGGCCAAGGTCGAGCTCGGCCGAAGTGGTAAAATGACTTAGTGAATTCTAAAGCGTCTTTATTTGTGAATGTTGATACCCCTGAGGTATATAGGAATATACTCCATCAAACCCCTAGTTCCTCTCCGATGGTGGGCTGAAGAAGAAAGAAGGGGGTGGCGCGAGCTGAAGAAGAAGGAAGGTAAGGGTGGGTAGAGAAGGAAAAAAGAAATAGAAAGAAAAAGAAAAGTAGTAAAAATTGACACGAGTACATCCACGTGTGTCATATGACCGGCAAATCGAGAATCATTATGCTAAATTGTACATTAAAATATTTTTATATGTTTCACGGGTTTAATTGGGTCTTTTTTTAATTCGGATGTTTAATTGATTTTTTTGGTATACTTCGAGTGTCGATTTGGTAATGTTCCCTTAATTTTACTACTACTTGATTAATTTTAAGCTCAATTTGAGTAAATTTAAAAGATCTCAAGCTTAAATTCAAATAAACTAATATTTGAGCTGGACCTCGAATGCACCATACGTACTCGTATACGACAAAACATCTAAATAGTAACAAGAAAGAGCTTAAATCACAATATTGTCATGATATCATCATGCATGAAATGATGAAATAGAAAAAAAAAAGATTGGTGGAGAAAATAGTGAAAATTTGAAATATGCAAAATTATACTAAGTATGTTATTAATCACACATGTAGTACTATTGGGAGGATCTAAAATAATTAAAAAAAAGACAGATGACTATGTGTCGTCAAGAGAAATATAATATATACTACATCCATTCTCTTTTAAATGTAGCGTTGAACTTTTTGCACTATTCACATATTATATTTTGACTCTATTTTATTTATTAATGTATTATAAATTAAATTTTAAAAAATATTATTAAATTCTTCTCATTTTAAATTTTCAAAATCTATTTGTTTTATTTCTTTTACTAATAAGGAATGAAAGATATTAATGGTCAAACTTGTGTGTTGACAAATGTGAAAAGTGGACTGTTGCAATTAAAAAGAATGGAGGAAGTAAGAAGTATAAAATAATGTTGACACTTTATTCTCTTGTTAAGGAGGTATATATTTTTTTATGAGGAAAAATATAAGATTAAATTTGGTAAATGACTCTTTTCGTTTTTCGTCAATGAAGACCTCTATTTATAGTAGAGTTAGATGGATACAATGAGATCTAAATATTATACAGTAATCGAAAGATTTATTTCAAACTTATAAATACTAAATATCAAATTTATTAGATAATATTCAATTTTATTGGATAATCAAATTCTCTATGTGTGCAAATGCCCCTCAAGACTTGCTCATTGAGAGCAGACATGTAGACAATGAGGAGTCTCCAAACTTTTTTTATCACATGCCATTGTGATATGGATTTAGGTGACTCTAAACTCTCGTGTTAAACTTTTTGCAGAAGGGGGCCTCCAGATTCATGAATTATGATTCCACTTTTACTTTTAACGAAAAGGCCTCCAAAGTCAAATGACATATTCTTTCGTTTTCACTTTTAATGAAAGGACCTTCAGATTTAAGTGGTTTATTTTTTTAGTTTGTATTTTGGCGAAAGGGCTCCTGAATTCAAATGCCTTGATCATCCATTCCAATCTTGACAAAAGGGTTCCCAAATTTAAATGACATGATCTTTTCTTATATCATTCAAGTCCTCATCAAAAGATTGGAGACACATCACACATATATACTCAGTACTCATCATGTATTGATTGTGAATGTGATTTCTTTCACATTCATATTGATGTAGAGACGGGAGGTAGAGTCATCCCACTGGGTGTGCCAATTCTCTCCAGATCTTGACATAAACACAACTCAAGAAAAGATTAAACACAATTGTATGATTGATGGAGTATATGAGTTTGGACTCATGGCCCACATACTCACAAGACATTTGGACCGGATCATCCTCGCCCGCAATCCCCTAAGTTGTTCTTATTTGACCATGAAATGTACATCACTACCTAAAGAATAGAGTTAACGACACAATATATCATCTACACATGAATGAGGGCACCATGCCCCCTAGCCCGCTTCAATGCATGCATGAGCATTGAGCAGCACCATGTGTTGCCGTGCTTCGCTTATATACTACCTTACATGTAGTATATAAGCGAATGGTGCCATTTGGGCAGTTATAAAGGTTCATTTGCTGCAAAACATCTTTCTCTATCTATATTTAGCTATGCATTCTCTCAAAATACCACTAGTGAATTCGTGTATACTTGTCAATATTAATTCCAAAAAAACCAAAAGAATATTATTAATAATTATTATTATTATATATGTTGTTGTCACCTTAGTGCCAAGACACTGCCAACTCTATTCAGACCGCCTTGCATACAAGTGACCAGTAAGACAACTTTCTCGTGACTTCGTCTTTTTCTAGAATTTTGATGTCATAGGTTGATAGTGTTTGTCGAGTGATTTGAAAATAATTTAGAGAAAGAAGACACTCTGACAGATTTAGGGTATATATATATATATATATATATATATATATATATATATATATATATATACGTTTTTTCATTTTGTAAATTTTTTTAAAGTTGGTCCTGTTTTTGTCATACAAATTGTGAGAGTTATATTTTCTTCATTTTTCAAATTCATTCATGCATGTGAGTTGAATGGATTGTTCACTTGAATTGATTTCACTATCAAAGAAGATCAAATATGATCATGCCCGTTCATAATAAACTAGACCAAACATAAACAAAAGTGTCTAGGTAAGAAAAAGCTCAAATGATACACCGTAGACCAGAATTTAGATAATAATAGAAAACACATAATACATGACCCTATCTAGACTAATTTTTAGTTTCAAACTATACAAAACCAAATCAGACTCAAGTAGAACACACATGACCACACTATAATTAAGCAAACAATCTTACACAACACAATTACATATCAGACCAGTTAAGACCATTTCAAGTAAACACTATCTGAATTTGTCCATTTTTATATAGTATAACCGATTGCATAACTTTAAGATTAGTTATTCAAGTTTGGGAGTAATTAATACCACCCTGTCTTTTAATAACACAATTTCATATCAGATTCATTTATATCTCTATCCTTTCCTTTTTCTTCTCGTACTTCTTTTTTATTTCCCTTTTTGTATATTACTCTTCAAATTGATTTTCTTTTAACAAAATATTTTTTAACCACTCTA